GTTCGCATACGACCCAGTACCCCCCCCCCCTAGGAACTTGGAAGACTTTATAGGCTCCCTGCCAAGGGTGATTATATCAGTAGGATTGATTGTTGTTTGTCCAGTGTTTTTGAGTTGTCACCCTGGAAAACATATCGTCGTTTGCATACTCAAGTGACGGTGTGGCATGATCCTGGAAAATTAGAAGAAAACACCATGGGTTGACGCGCCCAGTCCAGCCAGCAGCTGAGTAGCCGACAGGCTCAGGCGCCACGTGCGCCCCGCACGAGTCAACCCCAGCGGGTGCCGGAGTCATGCGCGTATGCTGGCTCCCAACGCTGTGCTTTGCGCCATGGTTGGCCGCCCAAGCAGTACCAACTGCACCGCCTGTTTGGTGTGCCGTTTCCCGATGTTGGCAACCCTGAAACCCTGCACCGGTTTGCCAATTGGCCTGGTCGGACGCCGCCAGCTGGTGGAGTCTGCAGGTGTCTACAAGCAGGCAGCGCCAGAGACTGCCGAAGAATCCAGACCTGACTCAAATTTCCTCCACCAGAGGCAAACGGCTCTCCACCTCACACCAGTGCATGCGTGGTGGCCCCAAAGCAGCCGGCTCAGAGCAACAGTGCTGATTGCCTTGTTGTAATGCCGAAGACTGTAAGTCTGGTTGCAATACTCCTCCACAAGCGGCCGCGGCGGTTGTACAGCCGAATGGTTGGTCGATAGCAGGCATCCGGCATGCTCCCCACCCCCGCAGGAGACGGTTCAGCGCCTGCGCCTGGGGATGCCGGCGCAGGGCGTCACAATGCAGCGTTTGGCTGAGCGCAACCGGCCCCGACGACAAGCTGAGGGCATCATTATTGGCTGCGTGCATCAAAGCCACAAACACGTGTGGATGGGCATGCACAACCCATAACCATGGGCAGTGTAGCACAGTCAACTGAGTCAGAGCAGATGCAAGCAGGCCTGCCTCCGGGTGCCTAGATCGCAGCCCATCCATCAAATCTGCTGCTGCGTGCAAAAGCGTGCGCTGGTGTGACATGCTCTAAAGTGTGAAGTCAACTAGCATAAATATGGGTCAACCCTGCAGCCAGTAGCCAAACCATACGTGTGACTGATGGAGCAATGCCCCTGGATGTGGCCCCCTACGGAGCCGTGCACGTGCACTGGCCCTGCCTTTGTGCCTTGCCTGACTCGCTGGCAACCCAAAACGAAACTCCCAGCCGTGGTCTTTTGGGGGATGAATAGCCTCAGCGTCCGACCCTACGCGTCGCCTGCCACCGCAGCCGCTGCGAGCACGGCGGCGCCGATGCAGGAGCCGTCCGCCTGCGGCCGGAACTCGACGAGCTGGGCCAGGTGGCGCGCGTCCTTGCCGTGGTGGGCTGTGGGGTTGGTGCAGCAGTGGGATGAGGGATGTGAAGGGCCACACACAGACGGGGCAAGGGTGAGGCAATTAATTCGCAGTGCGAAGGACAGGCTAGGGTGTGGCCGTCTTACGGGCTCACAGAGGGAGGACCAAATACTCAGCTTTGCAGGCGTAAACAGTATGCACAGGCGACCATGGTGGTTGGAGATGAACACCTTCAGAACACTCGTCCCTTGCACATGCCAGGTCAGACGCTCCCTGAAGCCTCGCACCACCAGACAACGGACTCCACCCAGGGCCGCGCCCCACCGCCCCCCAGCCCGTGGCCCCACCAAAGGTCTCCCGCATGTACTGGTCCAGGAAGACCCGCCAGTTGTAGTACTTGAGGAATACGCCCCCGTCAACGGCCACCACGATGCGGCGCGGGGCGTCAAGCCAGCCCTGACGAGCCGTTGGGCGGTGCATTTCCCATGAGTTGAGCTTGGCATGGTGGTTGAGCTGGTGCGGCGCAAGCGCCCGCCACAAGTCTGAAAGATATACGTCGTTGCCGGAAAAAAAATTGCAAGGCGCAGGCCCACTGTTACAATGTCAGAAGCAGGGCCATTCCTTTGTGATCAGCGGGGCATCCGGCGCGTCAAACCCGGCGCACCTGCAGCCTGAGGATGGCCACCAGGGCGATGGCGGCCATGCGGGCGCTGCGGCGCACCACCAGACGGCAGACGGACTGGACCTGTGCGAGGGTTGGGGGGATCAGGGCAGTTGCGAGCGGGTGTTGTCAGCCACTGATTATGCGCCCGAGCCCTTGCCTCCAGCGCAATATACGCAAGCGGCGCGGGTGCAGACACACCCACAGAGCACTCGACATGCAAACACCTGCGGAAACACGCAGGCAGACCGACCCTGGGGCAGCACCACCGCCCCAACAGCATCCCCCCCCCCACCATGTAGAGGGTCTCGCAGCACAGGTCTGTCACACCCAGGGCGTCCTTGAGCACGCGCGACACATTGCTGAGCGGTAGATGGGTTGCGGGGGCGAGCAACACGATTAGGCGCAAAAGCGGCTGGCAGACGTGCAGGCGGCCACACTGCTTGCACGTTAAGGGCCCAACCGCTGCGACCCCCCCCCCCCCGGGTGTAGGGACGGCTCACGAGCGCAGGGGCGTGGCGTCGCTCTCGATCATGGAGAGGTGCGCCGTGGTGAAGGCCTCAGGGTCCTCCAGCTTGGCTGGCACCTGCTGGTTTGTGGGAGTGGGTTTGGGAGTCGGCCCCCTGCAGCCGCTGCAGTCGCGGCAGGCTGCAGACGCGAGGAAGCTGCTTGGAAGCTCCAGCGCGAACGGGATGCAAGCAGCAGCCGTGACAGGGTGGCTCCAGGCGTGACGCGGCCGCACGCGGGCGCGCCTTGGAACCGAAGAGCTGGGTCTTGCGCGCGAAGGTGAGCAGGATGCGGCGCGCGTTGTCGCCCATCCACAGCCCCGACATCAGCTTCTCGATCAGCATCTTGCCTGACAAGTAGGGTCCGGAGGGCGGTGCGCATGCGCGCGCGCGCGCGCGTGTGTGTGTGTGTGTGTGTGTGTGTGTGTGTGTGTGTGTGTGTACGCGTGCGTGTGTGTATGAGTGAGTGTGGGTATGAGGAGGAGAGCTGGCGAGGGAAAGTGTGTTTGTATG